GGGAGTGGCCATCGATGGAGGCAAGGACTCTCTGAGTATGGCCGCCAGGGTGGGGAAAGAGACGGTCAAAGCTCCAGGTACTCTCACTGTGTGTTTGTTTGTATGTGTGTGTGTCTCTCATTGAGTGTGTGTCTGTCAGTCTGTCTGAAGTGTGTTGAGAGTTGATTAGTTATGCCTGGCTTTCACGCTGCTTCTGTTTGCAGGTGCTCTGGTTATTTCTGCATATGCTGTTTGTCCTGACATCACAGCCACTGTGACACCTGACCTGGAGGACCCAGATGGCAAAGGTATTTCTCACACACACACAAACATACACACAGACTTAAATAAGATTGCCCATAATCAGCTGAAATGGCACTAAAACGTTTTTGGCTTTAAGCTATCAGTATGAAATAAATGTTGACCGCACAATGTATAGGCTATAGAATAATGAGGCCATTGATGTTTGGTTCCATTTAAATGTTGTTTGTTTTCCCTCAGAAAGATTACAAAAATAGAATGCAATTGTGTCCTTTGCAGTCCTTTTCCAATAAATGTTACTAGCACCAGCTCCAAAGGTGTTAAATATCAAGGATTATGTATAGGCTTATTTGCATATTGGAGACATTATTGCACATATTTATGCATAAAGCTTAGTAGTAATGTTTGTTGCAGTGACGGAGAAGAGAGAGAAACCCTGTGCTGTTGGCAGTTGATTCACAGACCGCAATTATTCTGAGCAGCTTTGGGAATGAATTACAATATAATATATTTGAATATATTTCTCGCTCTTTCCCTGATGGCCTAAGTATGTCTCTGAATTTGTTGCCAGTAGTTGGCTCTGAGGGAAACTGAAATTGTTCCGGTTGTCTTTTCAACTCCAACAAAAATGCTAGTGGGGGAAGGAGGAACGTTTTCTATTGCAACTACAAAGACATGTCTTTTATTCATAGCCTTCAAATGTTTTGTTTTCACTTGGCAGAAGAAAGACTTCTGAATTTGATATGTTGTTATCTCACCCACAGCACAACTCTTTCTCTTCTTACAATAATACACACATATTCCCTCACACACTCTTCAGTAACACACTCTCTGTCCTCTGTCTGCAGGCGTGTTGTTGTGGGTTCCTCTCAGTCCAGGCTGTCATCGTCTGGGAGGCTCTGCCCTGGCTCAGTGCTTCAGTCAGCTGGGAGACTGCTCTCCTGATCTGGAGAAACCAGAGCTGTTCGCCGCCTGCTTCAACACCACACAGGCGCTCATACAGGGTGAGCAGAGAGCCAGCTGCCACGGGGGGGAAGTTTAGCGCTGAGATCCAGTCTGTGAGCCAACTTTTCTTTAGCTTTTTTATGAAGCGACTGTTCTGTGATACACAGCCGCCGAGGGGTTACTGTGTATTTTCAGTAATAAAGCAGCGTGACCTGGTAGCTCGAATCTTTTCACATTTCTTTTTCACAATTTATTTGCTAATGATGAGAGGAAATTGAAGTTGCCCTTTGACTTTAAAAAGAAGTTTGTTTTCTCGTCAGGCAATCACTTAAAATGAGCTAGAGTTAGGTAGATTAGCTAAAGGAAGATTTTTAAGTTAAATTGTAAACTGTGGATAAGAAGAGGCTGACATTAGACGTTTCTTCTGTTCAGATCGTCTGCTGAGTGCGGGACATGACATCAGCGATGGAGGCCTTATTTCCTGTTTGCTAGAGATGGCATTTGCAGGGAACCGTGGGATTGATGTCGAGCTGTCATCACAAGGAACTGGAGGTCAGTGAGTCGATGTGTCTCTTTGTTTGGTTTCCATATAATTCACACATACGGAACACAAACTGTGTGGTTGTAATCATAAGCTCATGCAGTGTCTTTTGGCACGTCTGTCTTCACAGTCATGGAGCTGCTGTTCAGCGAGGAGCTTGGCTTGGTTCTGGAGGTTTCACAGCTCAATGTGGAAACAGTGTGTCAGAGATACAGTGATTCAGGCGTGCAGTGCCATCGAGTCGGCAGAACCTGCGGCTTTGGGCCTGAGGCGATGGTGAGACATTAACCTCACTATGAATCTCAATGATTTTCATCTCCTCTGAGATACTGACTAATGTTTTCCCTCACTTATCTCACAGGTCAGTGTTCATGTGGATGGACAGGAGGTACTGAGAGAGCCGCTGCCTCACCTCAGAGCATTATGGGAGGACACCAGTTTCCAGCTGGAGCGCCTCCAGGCCAATGAGATCTGTGTTAAACAGGAAGAGGCAGGGCTGGCCAAGAGGACACAGCCATACTTCAAACTGACCTTTGACCCCTCTGTGATGCCCAGCGTCAGCAAGCTCAGTAAGACCAAACATGATTGGTGGCATTAACAATAATTTACTGTATGCAACTACAACAAAGTGCTTTTTTATTATCAAGTCATTCTTCAGTATAATTTGATTAAACAATAATCATTTGGTCGATAAAATGTTTGAAACAATAATGCCCTTCACAAATTGCCAGAAAAATAGACCACATTAAATTGGAGTCCGGTTTGGTTTCACAAAAAGCAGATTAAGCCTCTCGCCCCCTGGCACACCTTTTTGCCTTTTGTAGTATAGCAGATTTGTGGTGTCTGATCTCGCGGCAGAAAAAGGCAGTTTTTCTCTCCTGCTTTGAAAAGACAACAGTTTTCATTGCAGTGATATTAAAAATGTTATGATTGAGTAGTTCTAATTACAAAAAATGATCTCTCTGATTTGTGCGTGTCTCTCAGCTGGAGGTCAGCCTCGTGTCGCTGTGATCAGAGAAGAGGGCAGTAATGGAGACCGAGAGATGTCTGCTTCTCTGTATATGGCGGGCTTCGAGGTAACTGTTAACAGCTTTATTTACTCAATGAACTGTAGACCTTAGCTCCACAGCTGGTGACTCTACTCTATATGTTCTTGGAGGTGTGGGATGTCAACATGCAGGACTTGTGCTCTGGCTCCATAACTCTGGAGTCGTTCAAAGCAGTCGTGTTTGTCGGTGGATTCAGCTATGCAGACGTCCTGGGATCAGCTAAAGGCAAATAAACACTCATTTGTAGATCTTTCACTGCTTTCATATACACATTATTCTTGTGTGACACCTTTCATCCGTCATGGCAGGCTGGGCTGCTACCGTTGCATATAACCCCAAGGCAAAGGCCGAGTTTGATCGCTTCCGGCGCCGCGACGACACACTGAGTCTGGGAGTGTGTAACGGCTGCCAGCTGCTCGCCCTGCTGGGCTGGGTGGGAGAGGACCAGGGTGGAGCAGGTAAGAGGAAAAGGCTCAGAAAACAAGGCCTTTAATAGAAAACAATATACTATAGTAGTAAACTGACAGGATGCCATGGCGATATGTGAAGATATGAAAACCGTCACAGAGGAGACCTTTTGCAGAGGTTGCTGTGATCAAATCTCTTTCTAATTATTTCAAATTTTCCTCCAGGGAGTGAAGTGGCGCTGACCCATAATAAGTCTGGCCGGTTTGAGTCTCGCTTTGTCAGCGTTGGGATCCAGGAGTCCCCATCCATCTGGCTCAGAGGCATGGAGGGCTCGGCTCTGGGAGTCTGGGTTGCTCATGGAGAAGGTACAGTATTGTGGAGTCGATGATGTGTTTTTTTTCTTAACTTGAGACAAAGGTAAATAAAGCTGGTGCGAGTAGCCCTGTTTTTAGTCATGTTAATAACAATAACAGGCTCACAAGGTTGTTCAGAACAGGAAGTCTGCGTTGAATTCAAAGCCTCTTTACTTGTTTGGCCGTTAAAATACAAACCGAAATGACGGGTGACAAAGCACTTCTGTACCACGGTTCAGACTTTTACATTATTTTCTGAGAGGACAGCGGATAAACGCCAGCTTAATCAAGAAACTGCAGCAGCAGAATACAAGGTTACTGCTGGTAGGCGACATCAGATTTACACCAGTCTACAACCAATTAATTGCAACTATAGTGAGAGCAGTTCACATAGGTGATGATGACAGGAAAGGCAGGTTCATCATGTCAAGTTCTTTGTGGCACTCGTCTAATTGTAATGTAAAACTAAAACTAGCATGTCCCCTGCTCAGGGTTTACAGATGGAGTTTAGCTAGTAGCTAAATCTGGTAAAAACTATCTTATTTGAGATTTGTAAGTGATGCCTAAAACAAATACATTTAATAAAATAAATCTATGCAATATGACAACCTGCAAACCTTAGTTCAGACATTCAGGTGTGAAAAGGCTCATACGAGGACAAAAACAGTTTAAAAATAACTTTAAACTTGTGCAACTGTTTCAGCTGACTCATGAGTCACAGGTCAGTTTGTTCTGTAATCAGCAGCTGTGTGTGGTTATTGATTCTTCCCCCGCAGGTCTGATGCAATTCCGCAGCTCGCTGGCCGAGGAACAGATCATTTCTAGTGGCCTCGCCCCCGTACGTTACCTTGACGACCTGGGTCAGCCCACTGAAGAGTACCCTCTGAACCCGAACGGCTCCCCGCGGGGCGTCGCAGGGCTCTGCTCCAGGGACGGGAGGCACCTAGCCATGATGCCCCACCCGGAGCGCTGCACCCTGGGGTGGCAGTGGCCTTGGGCCCCCAGGGACTTCAGGCCCTCCCTCACACCTTCACCATGGCTGCGCATGTTCAAGAACGCTGCCGCCTGGTGCAGCAACACAGCGTGATAACACTGTGTACAACGGATCCTGCCGAAGTAGTATTACAGTCTCCAGGGTTTGTAGGTCAACTGAAACTGTGTAAGACACCTGTTTACTTGCTGTGGTCCTTTTTGTGTTTGCAATATTACTGAAACCTGCTGTAATACTTTATGACTTTGTTGACTTTTACGTTCCAAATGTTTCTTTCTTGAGATCACTGTAAATTGTGCAAAATGTCCTGTCTGCTGACATTACCAGTGTTGCTCTACTGAAACTCTAAAAATAGAATCATTTGAAAATAAATAATTAAAAAGCAGAATAAGCACGTGTAGTGTTGAGTTTGTTTAAAAAAACACATAAATATTCTTTATTTACACAAAAAACTCACAATATTATGTATTTACATATCGTAATATTTACGGCATTACAGTGAATCTTTAGCCTGATTCCTAAACAAAGAGCCAACATTGCTGCACATTTAGATGAATGACAATGACTAAAGCTAAATAAAATAAAAGATAAAACTGCGATTTTAAACAGAATATTTTGCCTATTTAATATTGATTAATTATCTCAGCCCGGGTCAAGGCCTCGATCATTACAGATGTTGCTCTTGAATAGGCTCTGTAAACACTTTACAATCAGCTGAGTCCACGACTGCTGCGCGCCGTGCTGTTGTCAATATGTCAGATAGATAAAGAAGGAAGAAATCCAATGAAAGTCAAACGGCTCCCACTGAACCTCCAGCAGCGTCTGTCTACAGTGGACTCCCCACTCCTTGTGAGCTTGTAGCAGACTGTCCTCCTCTCTCTGGCGCCATGTGCTGGTTGATGTTGATAACGCAGATCAGCAGCAGGATGACCACCACCAGGTCATCGAGGGCCCCCAGCAGTCCACACAGGGAGGGGTCTGTTCCCAGGGGATTGGCTGATGATGAGGAGGAGGAGATGGACACCACGGTCCCCACACAGCACAGGGCCACCCTGAAGAAAAACAACCACACCAGTCCTCGCATGGTGCCCAGGCTTCTGGTCAGCAGTTGCAGGAGAAGAGGCGCGTCACACAGGTAGTCTGTGACCTGCAGGGGTCAGTGAGCAGATGGGAAAACATGTAAGACATAAACATGCAAAATGATATAAAGTTGTACATAGTTTTAAGGTAAGACTATATTCAGTATAAGGAAAAATGCCACATTTGTTCTGATTGGTTTAAAGTATTGTAATCTGGTACAGACATACTTAGAGCAAGTATCTAACGTTACAACCACAAACCTTTTGGATTACATGAAAAATCCAACTGTTGTCGATAGTCATGTTTTTTGTTTTTTTAGCCTGTTTTTCAGGTCTCAGGCTCGAAAATGACATTCCCAGAACAAATGACAATAACCTCCCTTCTAAAAGGGGTAAATTAATCATCTTTTTTCTCAAAGCAATGATAAACCTGTGAGTTGGATGTAGAAAAGTCAGAATCAATATAGATTTTTTTTATTTTAAAGTAAATTCAGATTGAACAAGAAATGTAAATTATAGTGTCCGTCCAAAAATAAACCATTACTTATAGTGAAAACCACCCTTGAATGATGGGATAGTAGACTAAAAGCTTTAGGAATCCAAACTATAACATATAATAAGTACCCTGTATCAATATTGATGCAAAACAAGTGAAATTTGACCTTTTTAGAGAGGTTTAGCACAAAAAAAACACCTCTGGGGTCATTTGGGTGGAAATGGGTGTATTTGCCGCTTCTCTGGAACCCATTGGTCGATTTTGATGATTGACATCTCGTTTGAACCGTTAGAGCCAATAGAATCGAAGAGGAATTTCCACATACACACACGTTAGCATTGAGAAGTGGGGGCTATGCGCAGCGAAACCGATTTTACGCTCTGAAATCTGAAAACTAGTATTTTTTGTATTTATTGCAGATGGATTATCAGAAATAATTTCAAAGTGACACAGACACATTGGATTAACCTATGTATTAACCTTCAGCAGCGTTTTTAACGTTTTAATGCCATTGAAGACAACTTTTGATCAGAAAACAACAAAGGTAATGCTTTGTGGTGTGATGTCTTTGTTAGCTTCTCATGTCACGAGTTCGGATCGGTCACTTGTGATACCAATACCTGTCGAATCTGTGCAATCTCATCTTGCTAATCGATATCTTGTTTGTGCAGATACCATAAGTAATAAGGGTATTTTAACGTGAGTTCTGTGCTAAGTGTGTTAGCATTTTTTCGCTCAGGGCTAATTCAGAGCCTTTGTTATTACCCCTATGTTTCGTTTTGCTAAAAATGGTTAATATTGCCTGATAGCTGAGTTTCTTCCCGTTAAGTTGGTATGACACATTAATAGGTTTTTAAATGTTAAGAAGCCCTCAGATGCTGTTTCTTGCAGATGTTGCGATTTTCCCCCCGCCCGCAGGGAATGGGGCAGGAAATATATAGAAGAAACAGTAATCACATGAACCCAAGAACTAATTTAGTATGAGAAGAAAAATATACTTTTCAGCCAAAAGGTTTGACCTATTTAGAAAATGTCTTCAGATATTTGCTTAACCACTTCTATCAAAGGAAATCAACATTTTAGCAGCGGAAATGGGTTAAAAAGTAACTAATGAGAGTCTAATTGTGATATTTCTATTGTCACTCGGTTTTCTTTTATAAGTTCATACATATTGAGTCTCACTTTAACAGTGTAATTTTACACCCTCTATAAGCATATAACCACATAGCTTTGTTGGTTGTTTTTTTTATATAAAACTAAATGATATCCATGTGGGAAACAAATACGCTGATACGAGGTAGGGCAACAAGGCGTGGCAATGCCAGTTTATTAGCCTCCTTTGTCCGGCATTGTTAGGCAATAAATCCCTGAGGTTGCATAATGGTACTCCTGTTACCAAGCCATTATAAGAGGAAAGGTTGGAAGAAATATAATCTTTCTCATTATCTAATCTAATGTTAAATTAAAGCATCTAAGAGAAAAAAGTGCACCGCCCGGTACAGACACACATACAGGGTTTAGAATAGGCAAACAAGCTGTGAAAAAGCTTTATGAAAATGTTAGAAACAAGTTAAAATACTGACCCTTCTTGGGGCTCCAGAATAGCGTTTGTTGTAGTCTGTGATTTCCCCAAGAACTTCCTTTGACTGACTGTCTGATCGACTCTCGTTAAATAGATTACAAAGCACGCTGACCTGGGAAATCAAAACAACATTTTATTTTCACGTCAATGTCCGTAGTATTCAATTTTCACTCTTGTATTCTGATTATGCATCATGTACCTTCTGTCTGCAGAGAGGGCAGCTTATTGCATCCAACCAGGACCCATGTCTCCAATAAGCGATCAGACAGGGAGCTGCAGAGTCACATAAACAAATACTCATTCCCTTATTAAACATTTATTCTATGTTGGATTATTCTGGTGAAACTGTGATGATACTCGGATGCAGGCATGACACTCATGCAATGAAGTTACATTGTGTCACTGTAAATGATAACAGGCGAAGTGATTGGGCGATCAAAGGGTTAAAAAAGATTATGTATAAAAGGCTGGGTTGAGACACAGGTAAGTAGGTCACACCTGTGTTAGGTGTCCACAGTATGTTATGGTAAAGGTGCTGGAATAAAAACATCTTTATAATCTATCAAAGGTTGTTAAGATTGTGACAGCCATCTCTCAGTAAAGATTGCTTTATCTTAGAAATCGAATGCTTTTTTTAAATGTATGTGTTTGAGTTGCAATTTTAAACTATAACACATGTATTGTACCCTTGTTCATACAATGTATATAAACTGTACATAAGACTGCCCAGAATCGCCTGTATTTGGTAAGAATGTACTTATAAGTGCTCCCTTCTCAATACTATATACTTTGATGCAACAAAATCAACATTTTGAATTTAGAGATCTGCATTTGATGTTTACTGATGCACATATTTATGTTAACAGCTAAGTGAACGTGTTTGTTTGGGATGACATGCCACACTCCATCTTATAACCTTACCCCTTTAAGAGTGATTTGAGTAAAGCTGTCAGGTGAGAGGCAGCATTGGAAAAGCGTGGCAACACTTTATTATTGTAATTCAAACAGACAGGCCTCAAGATCTGAGACTCACTGATGCCACACTGATCAGCCAATGAATCAACAGAGATACAACGCATGGTGTAACAGGTAAGCAAATGTGAGAGTGAACAAATACACAAATGAATAAACTTGGCTGCTCTAATACCTGTGTGTCAATGTGTGTGTTTGAGTGTGCATTGAATCTCGTACCGCAGAACAAATGGCCGCAGTTTGTCTGGACTGGGAAACTGGCCGTCTGCAAACACACTGGACAATGTGAGTCTCTGGTAATGGATGGACATGACTGCGTAGATTCCTAAAGAGATGAGAAGAAGACAGAAATATGTTAAGACACGACAGGTGGAAAACAGGAAAATAGAAGTAGGAACAATTAAAAAAACAAGGAAGTAGAAAACTTGAAGCAACAAAAGAGTTGAGAAAGCTAAAAGAGTTTATGGCCAAATTAAGTATTCTTATAGATTACATAAAGACAATTATTATAGCTACAAAATACATGTTTAGAGAATTATAGTGAAGGACAAATCGTGGGCTATAAACCGTTGGATAATAATCATTTGTTGGCAGCATTTCTCTCCATATATGACCCTAATAAATAAAGCAATAATAATAATCAAACGGGAGGGCCTACAGTAATATATTGTTTATTGCCTGTGTGCTTTTCCCGGGCCGTGGTCAATATTTGTTAAAAACATTAATACAAAAACTGAATGTACCAACAGTTCAAGATTGAAGAACTTGCATATCATCAGCTTCATGTGTGTGTGCTCACAGTGTGTATGTGAGTGAAGTTCTCACCTTATGGTGGCTCATTAACTGTAACGCTGGCTGCTCTGGTGTGCTCAGCAGAGATCTGGATGACCGGAGGTGGCCGTTACCTGCCGGACCTTCAGAGGAGAGACGGTCCAGACTGCAACGTGACACAACATGGCGAAGTGATAAAGACGCCTGAAATATTGCATATCTGCTAGTGAGAAGACTCAAAAGTAATGATTTGAGATGTATCTGTGAAGTATGACTGCACGCAGCTCTTTTCTATGTTTGGAGGACAGATCACGCTTATGCTCTGACTGCAGCAGTTTTCAGATAAGATACTATGTTGCAATAGCATTGTTGTTTAAGATGGAAAGTCAAAATGAGCATTGTAAGTCATAATGTAAATTGTCAAATTAAACTAAGCAACAATTCTATCTTTAATCTCACCAGGCATCATAAAGATCTTCGGCATCACAATCTGGCTTTTATCATCGATCAATGAACAGTGATTACGGTAATTGTTTTGTTTTATGAAATGGAGTCAGATAAACAGAATCAATACTGTCATTATTTTTGTAAAGCAAGAAGCCCTTTTACATAATCAAACATGTTTTTTTATTGTAGTTTTCTCAGGGCTAAAACATGTTTAGTTTTATATTTTGTGGAGCCCTTAAACAATTATTTTAAAACTCTTGAATGATGCACATGCTGTTTTTAGTTTAGTAAATTACACATCAGATGAACGGAACTTAAAATTTGCCTAAAACTAAAATCTGAATTATCATTGAAGTACATCTTGTGAATTATATCTCCACTTGTGTTCTGCGATAACAATCACAATCACAATTGTAGATGGGACTCACCTGGATTGAGAGCTGTGGTAGGGGTGCGTGGTTGAGCCAGACATAGCAGCTGACAGTTAGTCACTGTCTCCTGGAAGGAAGTGAAGTGCTGCCTGGCAGCATCACTGCAGGAAATAAAGCTGCCTGTTAATGATTAACTACACCCTCCAATGAGCGGCTGTCTGAGTCTTCCTGCTTTACAGGAGCAGTAATGCAGTCAGATGAATACAGCAGTGGTTTGTGCAGTTGTTCTATTCCCAGAAGAAGCCTTGTGAAAAGTTAGAATAGCCTGTCTTTAACTTTTAGTTTTAAAGTATTAAAATCCTTAGATATTCAAAAAGAAAAGCTCCCACCTCCAGTCTGGTCAGAAGCAAACTATTTGGTGTCACATGACTTACCACTAGATCAAAGCCAGGCTTTGCTGAAGTAGGTTAGATCTGACTTTGCTAATCATTGACCCAAAGTTTACTCTGACAACAACCCTCTTCACATAATTCCTCTCTTACCATAAACGTTTGGTTGTGAAATGCATGTAAATGTCCCTGACATTTACACCGTACTCCACTGAGGGTTGTAGAGACACTCAGCAGTTGATAATCAACCCAGCAACAAAAAGCGGAACGTTCTTAAACCCACTGTGGTATAAAGGTACATTTCTGTTTTCAGAAGCTGAACTATTCACATTATTTTAATACCAGTAAAGTAAAGGTGAATCAAAACGACTGAGCAATAAAGCAGTAATTAAAAGGACTTTAATAAATTAGCTTTGACTTGAAAAAGATATCTGACGGGGAGTGAAAATGTGATAACCTTCACATAATTCAGCATGACAGCCATTGCAGAAATATCCAGACAAATATTTACAAATGCTCTTCACCTCACTCCAGGGAGGGGGGAAGTGTCAATGTTGTTCAGGTCATCTAAAAATAGCAGCCATCAGTCTGTGAGAGTCAGGGTCTGGTAGTAGCAGAGCCCAGGAGATAAAACAAACAAGTTCACATACTGACAGTAAAATCTGGGCAGAGGACGCTCCTGCAGGCCGCAAGGGTAAAGTCCAGTCTCAGGTCACACTGATTTTAGGAGTGTGACATATCAACGACTTTATCCCAAAGTGTTACATCACCTAATGTAAAAATGTCTTAAAAATGTGTGATAAGTCTATGAGTCTCATCTTCCTCAAGCTTTGTTGGAAACGTTCATTGTGTGGCTCAGAGAGCAGGAGACAGGACATGAGTGAGTTATTATGTATAACACAATGTAGCCCTTAAATTATAATCACAGACACGCTCATGAGATATATAAATGGTTAGAGTGAGCAGTTTTATTATATTCATGGGGAATTAATTAATATTCAGAGAACAGTTGGCATGCTGCCAAGCTTTAAGTGGCTGTCTGAAAGGAGGTTGATTAAAGAAAAACACTTTCTATTTCAAGTTAATGTGGACAATAAAATGAGGGTTGAAAGGGATTAACATTCCATTTGTATTCAATATCCACCTCCATGCTATACCTGCAAAACTGTCTGTGCAGGATTATTATTTATGTTGGCAATATGGGTGAGGTCATGTAGTCCTTCAAACCGTGGCTTGCATCTTGTTTTGTACCTGTTTTGGTATCTTGTTGTTTTTATCATGATAACTCATTCTTTCTTATGTTTTGCACTGGTACCAGGGACAACATAATTGTGTTTCTTCATGTAGTAGTACTGACTGCTCATTAAATATATTAATAAAAAAGGTAAATGACAAAGTGAAAGAAGAATCTGTATTTTAAACCTATAATAATTCTAATTACTGTGAACTATAAGGCTGAAATATACACAGATCAAATATAAATAAAGTTATACAAATAATAAACATGTATAGATACGCTATATATAATGTATTCATTTAATGATTGAATTTAAATTTGATTGTAGCTGATGTATAAATATACATATAGCGTTTATTAGAGGTACAGTGGCAGTTTGAGGATTGGCAATAGTTGTGCTCAAAGCACAAGAAAAATAAAAACTAATACCTAGATATTAATAGAAAAATAAATAACATTTAACTGAATTATATTACCGTGTGTTTGATCCCTCAAACTCTCTACACATCTATAATCCATCAATTATGAGGGTTAGCCATTTCATAATTACACGGATCAAAAATGATTTGATTTTGGTCAGAAAATGGAGGCGTGTTTAATCACAGATCCAACTCACTGATTGGCTATAGCGAGGTTTAACTGCTGTCAATCTCCCCAAATCTCAACGCTGATTGGTTACGTCTTGTATTTCCCTCCCTTGATCTCAAGTAGGAGCCTGCACACAAGTAAACGTCGAAGAACTAAGCGGTGCCATTCGCGTACGTCTTACGTTATTTTACGGACAGCACTTCCATAGTGGCTGTCAAGTTTACGTGTTTAGCGTAAGAGCGCTACCTCTTGGCAGCAGGTGAGGTCAAATGCAGAGGAAAGGAGCGGAAGAGCTTTGCTGACAGGTGGAGGAAAATACTTTAGCTTTTAAGCTAAAATGGAACAATCGGACGAGTATAAAATGGCACTGACCGAGAGCCTCGCAATATGGGTGAGTTGTATAAAATGACATGTTCAGCTAATAGCGTTATGTGAATGTGCCAGCTGATACAAGGAAACCATGGGAGCGATTCACCTGTTTGTAGGTGGTGGGGGTGTCAGCGAAAACACTCTTTACAAACCGAGAGAAAAAGAGACAAATTACAAACGAGCAGATAGTCGTTTATTGTCGCTAAGCAAAATCGTTATTACTGAAAACAGCTTCAGCCGTTATTTAATTAAAGTCTCCGTGGCAACAGTGTCAGCCCACCGGTATAGTAACGACAAGAGCTGGTACTGCAGGCTAATAAATCTAAAGTTAAAGGGACAAAGACAACATTGTCCTTTTAGTTTAGTCGATCTTCACCGTATTTAGAGTTAATCCAATTGAATGGGAGATATTTGTTCAATGTTGCTGTTTTGTTGACCTTGTGTAAATGATTACATGAAGCTATTACTAGCAGTAGTTAAGTGTCCTTCGTTTGTGTAGCTAGCTTGCTGCACTTGTCCCTCTTCATGGTGGTGAACCCACAGTGTGTTGGTTGTCGTGTTACTGTATATCTCATGCCAGCAGTATCTGACATCTAAATCCCGTGGCTATGTCTAATCCACTTCAGTTACCTTGTTGACCAACAGTGGACAAGTCTTACAATTTAAGTAGGAGGTCAGATTAAATCCTATACTGTTCCTCACAAGGAAATATTAGTCTTTTTAATTCTAAACGTTTTTGTCTTTGCTTAAGAGGCATGACTTTTGGCAAGGATGTGAGTTGTTTTTATGTCTACTTTGGTTAAACCTTAACATTTGTGTTTCCAAAACACAGACACTCAAAATGCCTCCATTAAAGCCTTCAAAACTATTTTTTCTCCCATCTCACTGACATGACAACATCAAATAATGCATTATATTGTATCGGACTCTATATCGAGAGATATGGAATACAACTTGGGGTTTCTACTTTTTCCCACAAGACTGAGACATGTCATCACATATATGTTTTTATACTTGTTTCCTGCACCCAATACATGCTTCAAAAACGATGTTGTTGCTAATAAGTATACAATAAATAATTAAATGTTTGTATTTGCATTATGTGAACACATTTTAAAGAGTTATCATTCTGAAAATGAACAAATATTTGGTGGTGATGACCAAGACTGAAGCAGGTTAAAAGATTTCACCCAGTGAAAGAAAAAATAAAGTTTATGGCAGTTTAACACAGATCTTTTTGAAAGATCCTCTGCCACATCATAGACTAAATGCATTACATGAATGCACACAATGTATTGTTCATACTCCTAGATGCACATATTCTTATTTCACATTTCATAGTTTATATTCTAAAATTCATTCATAGCATTCTATTTCCATGTAAATTACTGCTTTATTTAATTTGTATTGCTATTTAACTGTATTTTATTTTATTACGGTGTAAAAGATTTTGTGTTTTATATTAGATTTCTTGTTTTTTATATTTTATGTATGCACCATGACATCAAGTCAAATTCCTAGTATGTGCGAACCTACCTGGCAATAAACCTGTTTCTGATTTCTGATTCTGATTCTGATGTAACTGTGAAAATAATCTCTTGAGTGTGTTCTCACATGCTGCGTACAGTACTTTGAATTTAAGCCATATGTTTAGTTCTTGTGAACATTGTGTTTTGTTTGCGTTAATGCCGCTTGTCCTTGAATATTATAAAGCATGATAAAAATACTTTTCTAATGAGACACAAACGATGATTTACTGACAGCTTTTTGACATAACTTGTAAATATACATTAAAAGATGGTGTCAAATAAACAAAAGCACTGCTGATTGTGATGGTGAAAGAATAACATAGTATTTCTTTATTTAGATAAAAGGGTTCGCAGCACATTGGGGGGAAACATGTTCGGCAAAAACAATTGTGTGTGACTGTGTGGTGATGGTGTGTGTGTGTGTGTGTGTGTGTGTGTGTGTTNGGATTATTATCAGTTCTGGTAATATCTTCCTAAATAACTACGTCTGAAAGCAGAAGTCTAGGGCAAATAATTGAAAGTAAATATTTAACAATTACACCAATTGTATTGTATATTATATTCTTTGCAAGCTCTTGCGGGCCACATAAGATTAGGTCGCGGGCCGGATTTGGCCCCCGGGCCTTGAGTTTGACACCCCTGCCTCACACCATGTCTGCTACCTTAATTATTTACATCTTCACTTAAGAGAGGAAGCCTTTGTCCTAACCTGACTGGCACTATCTCCTCTCTCCTTTATTCATTCTCTCCTCTTCAGGGTTTGAATGTAAGTACTACACTATCTCTACACATCTGCAGTTTTGTGAAGACACGCTCCAGTGATGGCTTGGAAATAATGCAGTGGGCAGCAGCATGTCACTGCCTCCCTAACAATGTTTCATTCGCTGTTCTCTCCATGGATTGTTTGCCCGTTCTTCCTGTGATGCTGTGTTTTATGCTTCTCAGCTGCAGACCTTCAACACTCCTGCACCCTGCACAGCAGTGGGGGAGCTGACCACAGGAGTGGCGATATCACAAGCACTGCATCAAATGTAAGTCACCGCATGCACACACACACAGTTAATGGTGCAAAACATTTTTAATCTATGTAAATCATAAACAGCCAACATCAGATTTTATTGTGAGACAATGAAAATCAAC